AGATTTGGCAGCACAAATGTAGGGAATTTTCTTTACGGGTCAATATTTCCCCCTAAGATAACGAAATCCCGGACGGACGAAACATAATCAAAAACACAAAATAGAAAGGCTGTCAGCTCCCGTTTTTTGTGGATTATAAGCCTAAAAGTCCTTATGTTGAGTTAATGACCATCAGTATACCAGGAGGTATTGGTTTAGCGGTAATGTTATGCTAAATAGCAATTAGGTTGTCGGTATTTAGTATTTCGAGCTATACTCTTCCTCCATCACATTTAAGGGCATGAACAGAACAGACGTTCCGGGGCGAGAAAAGAGCGTCGTCTTTTTAGCTCTACTCTGTCCAAGCTAACAGAGTTGTCTACTGCTACTTAACGGCTACAACGGTACAGGAAAAATGTCAATGTGATGGGACGTGAAGGAACAGAAGGTCAGCAAAACCCAAGGAAAGGTGGACCATAAGTGGTCATAGAGGTGGTTCTAAGGTTCTGGTCGCTGTCTGCATCTCAGACAAGGCAAAGCTTCTAACCAGCGCCAGAGCAAGAGCAGCACAAAAAGGGCGCTTGCTATGAACGCCAGAGGACGCAGGTTTTTACTCAAATCACTGGGGCTCAACCGGTAATGAAAAGGTGATGGTGTATACTGTGCATCACTGTACACTGTGAACGTACTGCGCATCACTCGAAGGAAGTGCACAATGACTTCATTGGATGCCTCAATCGCTCCGGACCGCCTCAACATGTCTTGTCTGAACATGCAGTTCTGTTCTGGGAGCAGGAACAGGGGCACGGTGCGGGCATTTCTACTCGCGCGGGGTGGTGAGATCCCGCGGTCGTGGATTCCAGCACGCTCCCGCTCCCGTGGTCGAGTGAGAGCGCGCAGGAATCGTAATCCGGATGAGTTGGGTATGAGTTGCGGGGCGGACGGAGCTATTGGTTCGACGCACGAAGAACGGTTGCTGGCAACTGGACAAACATAGTCAGCCTGTGACGTGCAGGCGTGTTGGAATTTTGACCGACTGACGGAGCGGGCAAGCAGCCCAACGACGGCTGCTGGCAACGGGCCGAACCGGGTCAAACCTGACCTATGAGACCGCCTAGTAACTGAAATGAACACGACGCCAATATTGCAAAGTATGCAACAAAACCATATAATTTCCGAGGTG